ATGCAGCAGATAAGGCGACCCTTGATAATCTGCGCGACGGCCGATGCAGGATGAAGTTTATGTTTGAAGAAAATGTCATGGTTGTATGTGGGCTGGGATACTGCCAGGGCGCCCAGACCTAGAAAGGAGAACGATTAGGGTCCTCATCCAAAGCCTTTGGCTCAAAAGCCTGTCCGCAAGGCAGCGGGGTGGCAGTGATTTAGTTTTACAGAAATGGACGCCATCCCATTTCAAACCCCCAACCTGGAGGACCAGGAGACTGAGTTTGTCTGACCTCTCACCATTGACCAACCTGGTAGGAGTAGCTCTCAAGATGCTCGGAGGCATCACCCAGTATAGCTAAATGGGTCAATGAGGCACGCAAACCGTCGCACCACGTTAAGGTCCAGTCTCGTTGCGAAGCTCTGTGGGTTATGATTATTAGCTCCTAGGCTAGTTACAGGCTAGGTTAGGCTAGTTACAATAGTAATTGTGTATAGAAGCCCTGGGATGGTATGCAGAGGCACAGGCAGGTGATTGGTGTTTGGAGGCTTCAACCTCCCGGAGGTTTGCTGGGCAGATCTTAATTGCAACTCGACGTCAAATACATTCTGCGTAGATCTTCTTGAGCTTAGGCTTCAAGTACCGCTGCATCAGTTCGGGTACCCCACCATCTATCTTAGACCTTGTATTTGCTGTTGCTCGATTAGGTTGGTGACATTATTTACGGACCACCACTGGGTGCTAGTGATCTTGCTTGTTTGCACTTCAGTTGTACTCTGCCTAAACGCAACCAGAGTACTGTTGAGTCTCACCCGAACTTATGGCACGGGGACTATCAATCAATGAGCCAACGCTTCGGGTTTCCGTTGTGAGATCTCGGCGGACGATAGTGCCTAGGTTGCCTGCAATAAACTCAAGTCCTACTTCAAAGAGGCCTCTGCTCCCTTCATCTCGGTCACAAGGAGAAAGGGTGCATGAGCAGCCCATTGGCAGGCACCTACTCACAAAGAGGTCTAAATGTTGGCGGACTTATCGAGATGTTCCATCCACCGGTACCTATGATAGGTATAGTAAGAATAGAAATAGGTCTAAGAAACATATAAGGAATGCTCGGCTCAATTTCGAAAAAGGTCTAACAGATGAAGTTTCAGAGAATCCAAAAAGGCGCTGCTGTCCGGACTCGTCAATTCCAGTGCTGATGCGTGACGATGGTACTCATGCTCATACGGACTACGTCAAAGCCTGCGTACTTGGTGGGCAATATGCAGCAGTGTTTGTAAGAGAAAGCTCGTTGACAGGAGTTGAGCTGGTTTTCAGAGACTCAGAGGGTTCGGGACTAGCTGAATTTATTGTAGCGGAGACGGAAGTCCGTAGGCTGCTACAAAGGCTGGACTCTTCTAAGGCATCTGGATTTGATTTAATTCACCCGAAGCTGTTAATAATGTGTCAGCTGTACGCCGGAACGGCGCTTCGCTGCCGCGCGACCACCACCAGTAACACAGGCTGAGTATACCGCGAGGGCACCCACCCCTAAGCGGATTCGAACCGGGGACCATATGGTTGCAAACCAGGTGCGCAGACCACTCGGCCACCGCCCGAAGCTGTTACATGAGTTGGCTGTGGAGCTAAGTGGACCGCTCGCTATAGTGTTTCAGAAATCGCTTGACAGCTGTGCATTACCTTCCGAATGGAAAGAAGCTCTCATCCGTCTCATCAACAAAAATTGTGACAGGAATTTGCTTGCTAATTACAGTCCAGTTAGTTGGACGAGCGTATTAGTCAAACTCTTCGAGAAGCAAGTGAGGGATGCATTGGAGGGTCATCTATATATATTAAAGCTACTTAGCAGTGCACAACACAGATTCCGGAAAGAATTTTTGTATCCGACGGATTTATTGGTAGCTCGCGGAAGTTGGGCGGATGCAATGGACAATGTCCACGCACTGGACGTGCTTTCGTTGACTTTTCGAAGGCAGTTGATACCGTACCCTTTTAGAGGATTGCGCAAAAGCTAATTTTTAAGGAATATCCGGTCGCGGCCTTCGCCGAGTGACTGCCTTCTTCAACGGTAGTGAACCGTGAGTACGGGTGGGTCGGCCGGTGGCCCAGTGGTCTGCACGTTTGCTTTGCAACCATAAGGTCACCGGTTCGAATCCGCGTAGGGGTGGGCGTCCTCGCGGTATACCCAGCCCACGAGCGACTGGTGTTGGTCGCGCGGCAGCGAAGCGCCGTTACGGCGTACAGCTGACACATTATTATTTATTATTATTACGGGTGGGCCACACCCTATCATTTAGGCTATCTGTCCTCAGTGGCGTACTGCAAAGCACGGTCCTTGAACCGTTGCAGTTCTATATCTATGTGATTGACATACCCACGGAGCTTGAGGTGCCATCGCTGCTCCTTGCTGATGACCTGAAAATGTGATATATTGTCCATGTTCCTGGGGGTTCTGAATCTATTCAGCGTGCGTTGGATAAGCTTTGGGACTGATCTACTTTATGGCTAAGGCCCAAAAATCAGGCAGTGCTCCGTTCTTCGAATTGGTTGTCGATCTTCGAACTACTTAGTCGGTGGGGTCGAACTCCCCGTCTATCTTGCCAAGCCGATCTAGGCGTCGTACACTGTTGACTTTACGCTCGGGTGACAAATGGAAGAGGGCCGTTAACAGAGGTTTCCGTATGTTTTGATTAACAGGGCGTTCTTTCGGAACTGTGACAGGTGATACCTTTGTGAGACTATTCTCAATTTTCGTCCGGTTTCATCTGAAATATTGGGTTCAGACTTGTCTGCCCTGCCTCGTCCGGAACAAAATGGAGCTAGAGAGGGTTTTAGGGGTGAGTACTAGGCTGGTTGAGGGATTACGGCGAAAGACGTACCCCGAGCGCCTAGTTAGTGACAATGCATTACCGGACTTAGAGGATACCTAATCCTAATCTAACGTAACTTATTTGGGAAGGTTTGTCCAGATTTGTCTTGGCTATTCAGTCCCGCTAGATTGCCTGTTCTCCGCAGTCATTCCATGAAGCTGGACAAATCGCGGTCCGATCGGATTAGGGCGGAAATTCGGCTGTCACGCTGAGACATCGAGCGCTGAAACATGCTTGCGGAAATTCTTATCAGGGAATTGACGGGCAAGGGATTTGAGTGTCAATTTGATGACCTTGGGTGACTACGAAATATTTCCCTTCTCCTGACTAACTCGTATCTCCATACTTCCATTTTCTTCTCTCAACTTTCTTTCATACATTGGTATTATCCTCTTGTTTCAAGTGGACTTCCCTATTCTGTACATCCGATTTTTCTTCTTATCCTTTGCTTACTTCAAGTGACTGTCACAGTAAAGGCTGCTAGTGCAGAAACGTGGCCAGTAATTGTTTGACCAGGATGTGATACGGGTGTTCCATTGTAAAGCCATCAAGAACTCAGAGCACCTTGTCAATTCCTGGCTCAATAACCCACCCAAAAAGGTCACTCACGTGATTCTCCTATCGCACCAGTTCCAACTGAACTGGAACTGGAACCATTGACTAATCAGGTAGAGTGGCTCTTAACAGGTCCAACAGCACCATACAGTACAGTTAAATGGTTCGAAGAGGCACGCAAACCATCGCACTACTTCGAGGCAGATTGTCTTCACACGGGCACAGCCAATAGCAAGGGCGTGAAGCAGGTGCAGTGAGCAGCACTGATCCTAGTTTCGGACACACAGAAGATGTCGATATTCAGCAGTTCAGTCAGCTTAACTTGGAAGCTTCGAAACAGGGCTCCAAATGTAAGCTGTGGGTTTCAAGAAAACCTCAGACCTTTCCAACGTCGCCATATCCAACCTAGTAGTGAATGACTGGAGTAGCCTGCTGCAGCGCATTGTCAATGCACCATCGGAGGAATGTTTCAAACTATTATTGGACCTACCCGAAGAAAACGCTGGACTTCCGCTGCAAATTTGACAGTCTCATGAGGTACGCCCTTTAACATCTTTAGGTATCGATATTAGCAGGAAATTTAAGCGACGTAGAGACGCACTTTTTGCCCTCTACAACAACAAACAAACAAAGTGCTTTAAGCATCTCAGTGCACTTGCAGGCGTTTGTGATTGTGGAGCGTTGGAGCAGCGGTAAAGGGTTCCGGCGCAACACTGGTGTCAATCGGTTTTAGTGATGAACTACATCCAAGTAGGGGAAAATAGGTCTATGCATAGATGAAGAAAAGTAGCGTGATAGGGACCCTTAACTTCAACCTCTGCCACATGCTATCAGATCACTGAATGAATCGTAAGAACGGTAAGAAACAAAACCTTGTTCGTCACAGTATACAAAGAACTAGCCACGCTGGGGTTAAGCATATGACAATGGTACCAACACTGGTCATTGGATTGTAGAGAGCAGAAGGAGTTCTTTGTCAGCTCCTTCACTCCCGATCATTGCGTGGATGCGGTGAGTCACCACGAGACGGTATTCCACAAGGGGCGTAACAGCTACGTTGAAAGTATGCAAGGTCCCAGCTTACTCAACAAAAGAGAATCCGAAAATCGCTTGAAACGTTCATCAGTATGCGCGTCAACCACATGTCTCAGCAAGTCACTCTAGTCATTTACAATGCGGGTTGATAGAGCGATAGTGGAGCAAACTCGGAGTCTTCTGGGTTTAAATAGCTTCCAGTTGTGCCCCCGAGTGGAACTATTAGTGTTTGCATGTATTGTATGTTATTTATCTGGGACCTTGCTTCTTCCAATGTAGCTGTTAAGGCCCCTTGGGGAATACTGTTTCGTAGCGACTCACGGTTTCCACTTAATGATCGGGAAGTGAAGGAGCTGTCAAAGGACTTTCCTCCTGCTCTCTACAATTCAATGATCCAATGATCTTACAGAAGCATCTCATATACACAGTCGCAGATGTAACGCATCACTAAGATACTTGGTAGAAAAACATATGCAGCAATATATCGAAAGTTTAAATCAGATGATCTATGTACATCAGTAGATATCCAGACCATGAACACTCGCTCGCACGACTCACCCAAAATCCACCTGATTGATGGTAGTTGTATATATCCACGTAAAACTGATCAGGGTTTCTACTGAATTTTACGTGTTCATAATACCGGTAAGAGCGCATCTCATTGGCTCTAGATGCCGCTTCATCCGAAATCTCCGGTAGTGGTTCGTAAATCGACATGGCCGTAGACGGAGGTAGAGAACACGCGAAGCGTGCTGGTAGACATCAAGACCCGAGTGACTGAAAAGGCCGACAACGCGTACCTGCGTTTGTTGGGACTTGCAGTATTCACAAATTTTATTTTATTCTACACATTTGTCATTGTTACGCTTTATCTGATACACCGCCTTAGGTGGCCCAAAAATTACCGAGTTGTTCAGTGGTTGCAATTACACTACATTTTATGTTTTGTTTCATCATTTCCGTTACGGACTATTTTGTTCGATTTGTTTAAATGCATAAATTTTAAATACAACAAATTCTATGCCCGCGCATCGTGCTGCTTCCCAATGCAGCCGCCTCTGCGTGGGCTGTTGCCACATATTTAGCGTGGTCAGATTTATATCTTCTAATCGCTAGTCGGCATCGGAATAACCTGGACCGAAAGAAGAATCAGGACGCAAGTGTGCTTTAATGTTCTTCTCTTTTGACCTTTAGCCTAAGGTTGTCTTTTGCCTCCGCACCCGAACTTATTAGGTAACGGTCCTCTACCTTAATTGGTGAACCCGTATATTTCTGAACACGTTATTTTTTCGTTATGTTTGATCAACCCTGTAAACAGTCAGCTGAGAATTCCGTTACACGTTTTTTGCCGTCCTTCGTTGAGTCGAACCCACGTGCCTGGTTAATCTAATGGAACTCTATCATTCGTTTCCGTAAGGTTACGATTCGCTCTACGATGTTTTCATATGTTCCTACCTATTTACCTACACAAGTGGTTCCAGTAGTTACTCATATCCTTGATCCTATGCCGTCTGACTCACCTTATGATAAGCTTAAAGCAGATATCCGAAACCGGGGAGGCAGGCCTCCAACGGCTGCACTCTGGTGTCGAGCTTGGTGATCGTATACCATTTCAGCTCTTCCGACATATGTGGCCAATTGTCGGTTCATTCACGTTGGTTGCTTTCATACTTCGCCAACTCTAGATTAAGTGTCTCCCAGCAAACAGGACGGCGATACTAGCTGTGTTAACTGAGGACCTCCCACTGAATAAGTTGGCGAGAGAGGTCGACAAATTACACGAAAATTTCTTTAAAAACGCTGTGAACCATTCGGTTTAGGCGTCCGCTACAAGTACTTCAGGGAGGGCCGCACTAAACTCCGTTAATACTAGACCCTCAAAGTTGGAATTCAACATTTCTCATCTAATCCGCGGTCGAATACGCTGCCAAAGGTCCTCTTCCACAAGCGGGCCTCGCATCAACTCCCGCCTCAACTCGCCTCCTGTACGTAGGGTCGCGACTTATGGCCAGAAATTTCTCACCGTCTGTCTTGTACTGCGTCATAGCTTTCCTTCATTTTTACAACCGCAAACGTACAAAAGCCTATCATCGGTCTCGATTTTCTTAGTACCTTTGGCCTTGTATTAGGACTGCGTTTTGGGAAGTTACGTGATGATACCACTTCGTTAACAGCTCTCGGCAAGCCTACTGCAGTAAATACCATCGGACTTCGAATTCGCGTGTGCGATCGTTCGCAGTATCCCGTATGGTTGCAGAACATTTTAGCACTTGTCGGCGTAAATAACCACGCGACGTAACTCAAGCACGATGTGCAACATCCCACGGTCACAACGGGCCTACCCGTGAAGGCAAGACCACGACGACTTACACCTCAGAGCATACAGGCCGCTAAGAAAGAATACGAGCTCATGCCCAACCTCGGGCTCACCCGTCCTTCAAGCAGTTTCTAGTCATCTCCACTGCAACTTGTACTAAAAGGACGGGTGATTGGCGCCCACGTGGCGACTATCGTGTATGGAGTAAGGCCAAAATTCCCGATCCCACATATACACAGTTTTTCGTTATCTTTGGCTGGAAAGTCGATCACGCCTAAGCTTGAGCTTGTCAGTGCGTACCGCCAACGCCCAATGGCCCCGGAAGATATTGCCACAACGGCAGTGTCCACTTGTTTTGTCTTGTAGGAGTTTATGAGAATGAAATTCGGTCTCCGAAATGCCGCGCAACCTATCCAACGCTTCCTAGACCACGTCCACCTTGGACTCCACTTTGTCTTTATGTGCATTGCTGATGTTTTGTTGAAAGCGCTTCTGCTGATTAGCACTTAACACAGCTACCAATACTTTTCGGCCGTTTCCATACGTCATGCTATCAACCTTAATACTGACGAATGGGTATTTGGCCAACCTTCCATCGACTTCCAAGGCCACATAATCGACGCTAACAGGCTTAATGCCCCTCGACTGGTAAAATGCAAGTCATGTTGGTTTATCCATCGCCACAATCCGTTAAGAGCCTAAGCCGTATTCTTGGCATGACAAACTACAATTGACGGTTTATCCAAGGCTGCGCTGCAATTCTTTAACTTTTAACAGATTGGCTCAAATGCAATCCCAAAATGTTCACGTTCACTTCGGACGCCGAAGCAGCGTTTAACCCCGTCAAGCAAAAGCTGAGTCCTGCTACTTAACCTGCTTACTTGTGAACGTTCGATAACGTCACTCTCATTCGCAAGACAGACGCTGCAACCTCCGCCGTGGGTGCCGTATTGCAGCAGCTCGTGGGTGACGAATTCAAACCTTGTCTTTCTTCTCACAGAAGCTTCAACATTCCCATACCAGGTATAGCACTTTCGGTCAAATATTCCTTGACAAGTACCTGGCAGTAAAGCATTTTCGTCACATACCTGTTGGTCGACGTTTCGTCACCTTGACAGATTATATGACCCTTGTGTATGCCTTACGTGCAACACCTGAGCGTTACTCCCCTAAAGAGACACAACACGTTGTTTAGCCTCCCCAATTTTGTGTTGATATTCGCTACGCTGACGGACTTAACACCCTTGTTGCTGACGCATTATTCCGTGCTCACATCTATCAGTTATCAAGCTCGCACATCGATCTAGAAAAAATTTCTATTGTCCAAGCCAGTGACCCAAAACTAACACAGCTTCTATGAAACACTTAGTTACAACTCTTGCAATTGTCCGTGCTCAATTCTGACACAACAATCTACTGCGTGATTTCCAGCGGTAAACCCAGACCGCTTGTTCCACAGTCCTACCGGCGAGTGGTCTTTGGCCATCTTCTTGGATTATCGCACCTCAGTATTCGATCGACTGTGAAACAATGTACCTACTGTTACATCTGGCCCAAGTTGCGCCCAGACATCCGACGGTGCGCTAAAACCTGTCTTAGTTGTCAAACCAGTAAGGTTCACAGACATACTGTCACAACTCCTGGTACTATTTTACCCCCGAAGCCCGTTCCAATCATATTCACCATGATGTAGTAGGACCGTTACCAGCTTTTAACGGTTTCACTTCTTTGTTGACTTGTGTTGATCGCTTTACTGGTTTTCCCCACGCATTTTGTTTACTAGATATATCCTCTAAAACTTTTGCTTGTGCTTCATTGAAGCGTGGATTTCATTCTCCGGTGTACCAATACTGTCAATAAGAACAGGGGATCACGATACAGTTCCACACTTTTCCTTGACTTGAGGCGACCGTTCTATTGTACTCATTTTCAGACCACTGCCTATCATCCAGCGTCAATGGCCTTGTCGAACGATTTCAACGACAACTAAAGGCTGCACTTACAGCTAGTTTTCCCTATGCTGGTCAGAATGAATTCATTTCAGCTACTCTTCTTACTGTCCGCAATACGGTCGAAGAAGGTATCGGATGTTGCCCAGCCGAGCTTGTCTTTGACACAACCCACAGCCTCACAGGCGAGATTATACTACTCAAGAATTACCGGCGAACTGGATCATAAGTCTTATGCTGAACGCCTGAAGCACCATTTTTGATCACTTAAACCGACTTCACCTCGACTAAGCACGCGCCCGCAGCGCACACACCCTGACTTACACATTGTCCACTCGTCTTTATCCGAATCGCTGCTGTGCGAAGACCCTTGACACCGCATTATAAAGTTCTATACAAGGTTTTAACGCGGAAACCGAAATACATCGTTTTAGATAAGAAGGGATCAAAGGAGTCTGGGAGCATTGATCCTCTATACCCCGCATACGTCATGTCCACGTTGGATACTGCAGGCTTAACCTCAACCATCCACAACCCACCTCTGCTTGGACCGTTGCCCAATAAAAACGCATGACTGCTTCCTAAACCTCAGAATCCCTGGGTCCTTAACAAGCTATCCCATCCACACACGTTCAGGTCGTGTTGGTTCCTTCCCCTCCAAACTAGCACAATATATACCATGAGCGCTCTACCGAGAGTTGGTTACCAGCGCAAGCTCCAGGGGAGTTATGCAGTGGTTGTGATTACACTATATTTTATTTTTGTTGTTTCATTTCTGATACAAACTATTTGGCACCATTTGTTTAAATACACAAATTTTGAATACAACAATTTCCGCGCACTCGCATCGTGTTGCTTTCCATTGCCGCCGCCACTGCTTGTGCTGCTGCCACGTCTTTTGATTGGTCGGTTTTATAACTTCGAATCGCTAGTCGGCATCGGAAAGACAGACTGAAGGAACAACCAGGACGCGTGTGCTCATTTTTTTACTATTTAGACTTTTGCCTAACGTGGCCTTTTGTCTCTCACACGAACTTATTAGGTAACCGTCCTCTACTAAGTCAACGGGCAGGTAGCGTTCTACTAGACTGTATTACGCATAGATATAAGGAAGTACTTTTATAAAATTACCTGTGGGAAAGCACATTTAATTGAGGGTAAGAAGCTGGCCAACAGCTTAAGGTATTAAATTATCCTCGATTTAATTGCGACCTTTATATTTTTATAAACGATTGCTGAGCTTTTTTACATAAGGGATAAATGTACGCCTATAGCCGTAATTTCTAACCACTAGCCCTGGGAGCGCAACACCTATGCTGTACAAGTGTTTTGGAGCCATATGCACATACACCTTTCACGTTAGCAGCCGACGGTACCTCAACCACGTCTGCTGTTCATTGCTTAATCCCACCAACCAAGTACTTATTTTCCTATAAACGGTAAGTTGTAATCTCTTATTTAAACGCAGACTGAACCAGTTTAAAGATAAACTGCTTTAAGTTAACGTAACCTAATTGTTTACTGCAGGAAAGGCGTGAGCAAACCTTTATGTTAATGGAATTATTCTTTTTCCCTTGAGACCGTTCTCGATTGCAAGCTCACGCATTAGATCTCAAAACCAACATGGATAGCCCCCTTTCGGACACCAAACATGATATTCATGGTTCTCACCCCGGGCATG